GTTGGATATTCAAAAGCTGGATTCATATATCCTGCAGGACATCTGCAAGGGTTTTTATCAAAGGACGAACCAGTTTTCCACCCTTCTACTCGATGGCGCTAGAATGTATTCTTGATAGCTTTCCATTATCCTGAAAATAAATCAATAACATGGTGTCGATTACTCTTAACGTAGGCAACCGCATTAACGCCTCTGTCTAGAGCGAGTTTTCAGCAGGAAAAAAGCTCAAAATTTTTACGAAAAATAAACAAATAAATGATAATAGATGCAATAAAAAATTTTATGATAAAATTGAAGTCCAACAGTGATTATTTAGTTGCAACAATTTGTTAAAAATGTACAAGAAAGAAACTTTTTCAAAAGTTTTGTAGACGCAGTAATTGAAAAATTAATTTTATTTATTTCCTTTGGAAAAGAACTGTAATATGTTAATAAAAAAGAGGACAAGGCAATAAAACAAATGTGTTATCTTTCGTAAATAATTTAAATTTGATAATTAACAATAACCATGCTAAAATATATAATCATTTACTCATTGTTGGTTAACTGCATACGTTTCTATTGTTTATAAAATTAATTTCAACAAGAGGTACGTAACCCAAATAGTTTAACTGAAGACTTTCACGACTTGGTGGTAAAAATAGCACGTGTACAATCAGTAAGGGAAATGATTTAATTTTTTATGGCTGTTTTCATTACAATTTTATTATCCCTACATCGTATTGATATATGTAGATAGCTGCTAGTTGAAATTTTACGATTGTGAGATCGCTTTAATATATTACGACATTGCAAATGGATTAATGTTTTTAATTGGTTGAATTGTGATAAGTGCGAAATTAAATTCCATTAAAATAATCTCCAATCAGCCTATTAAAAAATAATTACGCCTTATTTCTAAACATGCGTCGCGTTCGAAAATTAACATTAAAAGAAAACGAAACTGTTAAATAAATCAATAGTTTATTTCCAATCACGAATCTACAATCACAATAGGTAGATAAGAGTCAAATTTGTTATCACTCAAAAAATTAAATTAATCAAACACGTTAACAAAATATCAATAAGTGGAAGAATTAAGTGAAAATTGATTATGTATATGTACGCGGAAGTTTTATCTGAAAGTATTTCCCGCTTTTCTGAAAAGTGTCCTAAATAACTGAATGTTGTTATGTCCTAAATAGTTAAGGCGTAAAATGCTAGCAAATAAACAAACAAAACATACAAACAAACAAACAAACAAACTTACATTCTCATTTAGTTTTTCACAAATCCAGCGCTGTTTTGCATTTGCATTCACGCTTGCGTTAGTACAATTTTTCATCTCCAGATGGAGAACAAATATGAGAATATATATACGAGAATACGAAGAAAATCGTAGATTCGTCTCTCATCTGCAAACAAATTTATAGTTTTTAGTTTTAGTTTATTTTCACTTTGTATCTTATAGATATATGATTACTAAATAAGAAATGGTAAAAGTTGTAGTAGTTCACCACGTATATAATCAGCTACAAAAGGATTTCTACTTTAAGTAAATAAAAAAATTGAATTTAAGTTAAAAAATGAAGTAAAAGAAAAACAGTAATCCCTTTAGAAGCTGCTCCTAATAGTTGCACGTAGTACAATGGTCTTCAAAAGAGCAATGAACTATAGTCTATTATATTACATTAGTATAAACACCACCTACATTACGTCCGTCTTTGTCGTTAACGACGTTTCTCTTTTAGGTTCGCGTTTTCTTTCGATTTTCACTGTGCGTATGCGTGTAACGCGTAGGGAAATTCAACACCACGATATTTGTTCGAATCTGCTCGGAAAATAGCCGAACTTACTGGTGGAGCTTTCAGTCAGTGGCCAGTTGTGTAGCTTGAACTTGCATACAAAGGGGTAAGTCGTTGGAATTATAAATGTAAACAGTAGATCGTGAATGTATCTTAACATCACTTTTGTGAATGGTACTGTTGATAAGAACAGGATTAGAGTACGAGATAAAAAGCTGAAAATAGTACCTTACAATTACAGTTATAGTTTATGTTTTTGTTGTATTGAATGTTTAAAGGCTCTTTTCTAAAATTAAAATCTATTGTTGATGGAATTCAAATTATTTGACGTTAGTTTTTTTATGTTAAAGTCACTAAATGTAATATTATAAAGAAACAGTTTGTTAAAATTGTTTAAAGTACGAATTATTTATTATAAAGTTAAACATATTAATAGCCAACAATATTTTTATTGTATAAGCTATAAATGTAAAAAGGTATTGTTTGTTATAAATAAAATTTATGTACCATGTGGAATACACAACAGTTCATGCTTTTATGAATGAATAATAAATTAGAATTGAAAATTGAATCAATCAGCAAGTGTTTCTCCATACAGGTAAGGCGAAACGTTCACTAAACATAGAAATTACATATTTGTTTGTTAGTATGACAAAAAATGCGTAATTTGGTAAAAATATAAAATGTTTTTTCAACCATGTCTATCTGAAAATATCACTTGATCCTATTATTTATATGAAACTGTGGCTGAAGTTGTTTTTCAAAAGATAATACCGCCCTCTAATAAAGTTTGGATACTGTAGAAAGAGAAGGTTAGAAATGAAATTAAAAATAGAACACCTTCTCAGGCATATTAGAGGCAGAAACGGGAGTTAGGAGGGGTAAAAGTACACCTAGATCAAATTACTATTCGCAAATAGTTAAGGATGTGGGATGTTCTAGTTTTAGGGAAATACGGAGATTAGCTCAGGATAAGAAAGAGTGGAGGTCTTAGGGCTGACGACCTCATGATGATGATGAAGTTTGGCTTTCAATTCGCAGTATTGTATAATACAATATGCCATTACAAAAATATATTGGCTTTTATGTAGCAAGGAAATATATTGAGGTTTTGATGTCAACTTTCAGTTTAATCTTGATAGTTCCAGTTTTATTCCTTCAAACTGTTTTTTATAACAGTGGAAATCCTATAAAAAGTTGACGTGTGGTTGATGAGTAAATGAAAAAGAAAAACGGTTAGTTTTAGGAAAAATATTAAAAAATCAATAGTTTGGGCCGTCTTCAAACATTACTTTAAATTTTCCCGAAATGAACACTCTATATGAGAGTGAAAATCTCATCAACACATTAATAAAGTAAAATAATTCGAAGTGGTCTCTATTATGTCGAAACTGCCAGACGCGGATCGCAATTTCGATCTTTTTGGATCTCATCAGCGCGTCGCAGACAGCTCCGACAGAACACAGACCAACTTTTACCTGCTGTCTTAACAGCGCGTTTTAGAAAATACTACAAATGGCGCGGTAACGCCATCTGTAGTACGATTATTATTATTACATTAATAAAGAGACGCAAGATTTTCTAAAAAGTTTCTTGTGCAGCATGTAACTATTCGAATTTGATTTCTTGAAGATTAGGCGAAATGGAAAACCTTAATATAAATAGTAAAATCTAGAATGATCGAGATTAAAATTGATTTGGCTTGCAGGCCTTCAAAGCCTATCCTTACGACTAATTAGATTCAATTTCCGGTCGCTGTCGTGATCTAAAAACAAAATTCGCTTTTTCTTCACCCCAATTCAATAGTGGTGCATGTATGAAAGCCAACACTGTTAATTTTATGGCTTCACCCTTTCCTGGGTCAATTTTTAGACTCGGATAAGCGCTTATTTACAATAAGGATTCATTAGAGAAAACTCCCTCGGGAATAATATACTCAAGGACCAGTTCACTCCCTCAGTTACGACCTCATCAGTTGTAAACCGTGTCAAACGTACCGAAAGAGCCTTTCTTATTTTAGTTACAGGATAACATCGATCTACTTAATCATAAAGAACTGTATAAAAGAGAGAAAGTTTTATTTTGCAAAAAACTGCCAAAATTTTAATATATTGGCAAAAAAAAATCGGTTGTCTGTAAAGTCGGTTTACTGACGATAGTTGAACGTGACAACGTCATAAGAAAATACTGACGGAATGGTTTCATTTTTCAAAAGAAAATTTTAATTTTATTTGTTTGATAGATATTTTGTATGGTTATAGAGAAGGAGGTAAATGGAAATGTATTATTGTATAGCAGCTGTCCACGCGGACGCATCGCTCACTCAAGTAGGAGAGAGACAGATGTCGAACGCTGCCGAACGCGGAGGCCGATTGTGCCTCTTTGTCGCTCGTTCCGCACTCTCGCTTGCACTTCAAGCCTTAAATGGAACGCCTCAGAGCGAGGTAACGCCGCATGAGTCATGTTTTTTCGTGCGTGCAGCCGGCTCCATCGAATTATAAGACGTTGTCACGTCAAAAACATAATTGAAGAACAATTAGTTAATGTTATCACAAAACAAGTGAAAAAGTATTGATAACTAAAGGAAGAAAGGTGACAAACTGTTCTGTGATAGATGATTAGAAATTAGAAAAGGACGTTGTGGTAAAAAAATAATAAATTAATAAAAAGAATCATAAAGAATGGGTCAAAATGAGTTATTGATCGTTGAACCATAATCGTTTACGTTTTGGAAGGCAGTAAAATAAAAGTATATGTTTTATGATCCCTAAAGTCTTAAATTGGGAATACTTTAATGGGTAGATATTAAAAAGGCTTTTTCACTCAAAATATTACGTAAGTAATTCACACCCCACACCCCAGTCTATTGTAAATATCTGTATATGTTTCGGAAATAACACTGTCCATTATTTCCTCTTTATAACCTTGATTAACATACATTGGGCGCCGTTAAACTTAATTCTGCTCCCCGTTTACGACGTAGTGTAATTTGTGAATAACGTTCTCCCCAAAAGTGTTAGAACTGTATTAGCTTTCCACTTTTTATTATACATAATAGGAGCAAGTATCGACGCGGCGTTGACGCCTTAGGGTAAACGTTTTCATGTTCCATTAACTTTAGAACACATTTCTTTTAAGACCGTTTATATTAGTCAACATTCATTTAAACAAAGGTGTCGGTTTCATCGAGATTATTACGAAAAAACAGTAAGTAGGTGTATGATGTTATCTACGACCGAGTATTTTATCTCACAACGTAATAAATAGTTGTGTAGGGTAAACGCAAGTCATAACTAACTTTATACTGTTAATAAACGTATGCCTGAGGCGGCGATCGATTCCAGGGTCATTATTAATACACGACGAGATACCCAAAGACCCGTGCTATAGTTGGTACGCTCAAAATTGGCATAGTCCTCAATAAAACGTTCTTCTTTCAACTATCTAACTAGACTAGAGCGGTTGCTGACAGACGTTGTAGGGAATATCGTCAATATAAAAAAGAGATGTCAGGTAGGAATTGCAGCGGGCACTAATAAAGAAAACGGAAGCATTTCCTAACTTAACAAGGGTGTGTCCAAAACACAGCAAACAACTACAATCCCAAGTGGAAACAAGAAAGAAGATACATCCATTCTCACAGATAATTTATTGTGGACTTTGCCAAACTATAAGAAGAAACTTTACGAATGTTTGATAACTGTAAGACAGATGATATAAATAGTGCCGACGAGAGGTCAAAACAATGTTGTAAATACACAGTAAGACCACTATTTTTGCTGTTTTTTTTGAGGATCCTACACCTTCTAGGAATCAGATACTTACAAAAGCCACGATAATGCTTTAGATACTTCAATGGCTTAAAAATAGAGACCATTATAAACTTCACAACGAATTTGAGTGCCCACGTATACAGTGAAAAATGCACTCTTTAACCTCACGTCGGTCGTATTTGAAGAACAAGCGCTTTATCAGCAAGGAGGCTGTAGTTGCGCTTTATCGATTGCGAAAAGTTTCAAAGAGCACAGCACAATGCGATTTCGAAGAGCCTGTTGAGACTGGCTGTTGATGGAACGTACTCTCAGGAATGTTTTCGTCTCAGAGACTTTTGTGGGTGCATACCAACAACTGAAATGATGACATTCGTAGGTTTTGTGAATCGAAGTTGACGTCGATGCAGCCAGTGCCGGTTTTACCATTACCAGCGCCCTGGGCGAGATTTCTACGGCGCCCTCCAACTACAATTCAAACCCATAGGAAAAAAGGGAAAGCATATAATGAAATAACCATTTATTAAAACAAATAATTATTTATTATAAAAAATAACCATTTATTAGAAACAAACTAATAAAATTTTACTTTTCTGGCCTTTCTATCAGCAAACTCTTTTATAAGGTTATCAAAGTCTATGTTTTCAGCAATTTCGTTTTCAATTGACAAAGTTGCTAAGTTTGTCAATCTAGATTGAGATATTGTTGATCGAAGATAGGTTTTTATCAGCTTCAGCTTTGAAAAACTCCGCTCCCCGCTAGCAACCGTTACAGGTATAGTCAGTAATATTCGCAATGCTATCCATACATTTGGATACAGTTCTTGTAAGTAGCGATCTTTGATGAAATTTAAAACAAAAATAGGTGTAACCACATTTTGATCGGGCAAAAAGGAGATAGACAATGTGTTTTTCTTTGATTGGGGATTCCCTGTAAAATAAACTCCGATCGAACGGATTACGTTCCGTTCAAGTGTTGCCAACATAAAAAAAATCCACTTAATTTAGGGCTTCCGTCCGCTTAATTTTGAGAATGAGGTGGAGGGCGCCTGCGGCGCCCCTTTTGTCCGGCGCCCTGGGCGATCGCCCAACCGCGCCCTACCCTAACACCGCTACTG